ATACTCAAATCAAAATTATTAATTTAATTATCTAAATATTATTCAATTTCTTAAAATATTTAATTATATAAATATTATAGAATTACGTAAAATATTTAATTATATAAATTTTATTCAATTATCTAAAATATTTAATTATATAAGTATTTTTCAATTTCGTAAATTATTGAATTATATAAATTTTACATAAATATTTATTTAATTACGTAAAATATTTAATTTTTTAAAATTCATTTCTTAATAAAATAAAAAAAAAAAAAGTTTCTGGGCCTTAACGGGCGACCCAATCTTATTTTAAAATTAAAAAACAATTGGGCCGCTGTTAAAGGCCCAAAAAATCGCTGTTAACAGCGGTTCCGACACGTTTTGGCAGAAATGGAGCCGAAAAACTCTATTTCCGGCCACCTAAGTATCATAAATCCATTTCAATATTACTAACAATGACCCTAATCACTTATTCTACTCGATCTACAACAAAATCAAACAAAATCACTTCAAACCATTTCAAAAAAATTCGAAGAAAATCACAACAATAGTTCAAAACTAACCTATCTCGTCGATTCACGGTGTGTTGAGATCCCTTTTTTGCTTTTTTTTGGTCGGTTTATGGCAAAAAAAATTTGGTCGGGTTTGTTGTCTTCTCTTTGATTTGGTCGGTTTCTTTGGTTTATTGGAGGACGTTTCACGTGTAAAGGGTTATTTTGCCTTTTTAGGTATTTCAAATTAGTTTTGATTTTTTTTTAATGCTATTTCTTGGTTAAAGGCTGAACTTGAATATTGGCATTTTCAATCTGCTATTCACGAGTATTTCCTCTTAAGTATCTTAGTTGGAAATCAAGCCAAGGTAATAACTCAAGGACAACATATCCCAATCTATAGACATGACCCCCAACGAGGGTGAAGCCCGACAAGTAGCTTGCGTAAATAGGCTCAAAATTTGTTCGAGCACCTTGAGGTCGGGGGTAGACAAATTTTGGCATCATCAGAGATGCCTAAATGCTTCAAGCTAAGATCGAGCCCGATGATGCTCGGCCAATGGTGAGAACATGACCTGGAGTTCAAGGCCGAACCTAAGAATGTTTTGGCAAAAAGGAGAGAAAATGACCTCGAGCTCGAGATTGAACCCGTGGATGTTCTTAGATTGAGCATACCATTCAAATTAGAATTAAGCTCCTCTACCAGGCTTGTAAAAGGCCAGGCAGAGCTGAGCCTCTCACATGGGACCCGCCTCATTATTCAAAACTAACCTATCTCGTCGATTTACGGTGTGTTGAGATCCCTTTTTTGCTTTTTTTTGGTCGGTTTATGGCAAAAAAATTTGGTCGGTTTTGTTGGCTTCTCTTTGATTTGGTCGGTTTCTTTGGTTTATTGGAGGACGTTTCACGTGTAAAGGGGTATTTTGCCTTTTTAGGTATTTTAAATTAGTTTTGATTTTTTTTTTAATGCTATTTCTTGGTTAAAGGCTAAACTTGAATATTGGCATTTTCAATCTGCTATTCACGGGTATTTCCTCTTAAGTATCTTAGTTGGAAATCTAGCCAAGGTAATAGCTCAAGGACAACATATCCCAATCTATCGACATGACCCCAACGAGGGTGAAGCCCCGACAAGTAGCTTGCGTAAATAGGCTCAAAATTTGTTCGAGCACCTTGAGGTCGAGGGTAGACAAATTTTGGCATCATCAGAGATGCCTAAATGCTTCAAGCCAAGATCGAGCCCGATGATGCTCGGCCAATGGAGAGAACATGACCTGGAGTTCAAGGCCGAACCTAAGAATGTTTTGGCAAAAAGGAGAGAAAATGACATTGAGCTCGAGATTGAACCCGTGGATGTTCTTGGATTGAGCATACCATTCAAATTAGAATTAAGCTCCTCTGACAGGCTTGTAAAAGGCCTGACAGAGCTGAGACTCTCACATGGGACCCGCCTCATTAAAAAATCACTCCAAAAAACCCACCCCATCCCTGTTTGTGTGCGTTCGGTGTGAACCCCTACCTTTACATCAAGCTTCATCCTTCCAATTATAATGTTTTATCTTTTATTTTTGTTGAATTTGGATTATAATTGTAAATTTCTTGTGGTGTATTTATTAAGAACAAGTTGTGCTTTTAGTTCACCAAGTAAGTGGTTGTTTGGTATGGATTTTTGGGGGAAAAATTGATTTTGAATAGTGATATGATGGGAAATGTGTGGTTGAAAAAAAAGAAAAAAATATTAATGTGATGGAAAATATTTTTTATTGAAGAATATATGGTTGAAAATGAGAATTGATTTGAGAATTGATTTTGAGAATAAAAAACAAACAACCCCTAGATTTTGTGGCGGTAATATAATTACTTTTCTTTCTTTTTTTTTTTCACTCAACTTTTTTTAAAAATGTTTTAATTTCTTTAATTAGTTAAATGAAGAAACGATTATATTATTCTCAAAAAGGGTCAAATGCTGGACGACTCTGATGTTTTACAGAAATGCTAAAATGAGAAGATTGGACGGTTTGCGCAATAAGGAGATGATCATTTTTTTCATTTAAAATGTTCCTATTTTCAACTTTTATTTCTTTTAAACTAAACAAATTCAGAATAATGTTATAGAAATTGTTTAATTAAAACAAATAAAGGATGCAAATTACGTAAAATGGTGGTTATATTAGTACCATAGTTTTTATTTGTTACATCACATTTTTAATCACAGTCAAACTCATTAATCTTAGGTCGTTGTAGGCTTGTAGTAATTATTTCCTTAATTTTCTTCGCGAATTCTTATTTTAAATCTTCTATTAATTAGTCAATCTTGTCTTTGATGATGATTTATGTCAAAATGTTTTATTTTCATATTTTAAAATTAGGAAAAAAATATTTTTTCTTATTTATTTATTTATTTTTAAAATATGATGAAAAAACATGTTATGCGTTGTGAAATAAAGGACTTTTGGGCATTAACTGTTATCTAGGGATTGTTTGAGCCCACATTTTTTGAAACTTTTTTTTCAAAACTTATTTTAAACCATATATTCTCTCTAAAATAATATTACACGTAAATCAAAGATTTTTTTTCTTAATTTTTAACAAAACATTCTCCAAAAATTACTATTTAAAAATGTAATTTTTCTCTCAAAATGAGACTCAAATAAGGTCCTAATATAAAATGTATTAATTAATGAAAAGTATGAGAATAAGAATGTTTTGAAAAATAGTTAAGAGATATAAAGGTTATAATGATTAGAATCTTGCTACAAGTACAGAATAATTATATAGATTTTATACAGAATTTTGAAATGAAGGGAATAGATTCAAAGATGGGAAGAGGGAAAATACACGATGACGGAAAGGATATAGGAAATTCAAAATTCTGTGAGTTATTCCTGTACTTGAGGAATAACTGATAAACCAAAAGATAATGTTGGAAGACGTAAGCCATGAAATGTCATACCGAGGTCTCGTAATTTATGACTTGGAAAATACACGAGGACGGACATGATGCAGGAAATTCAAAATTCTGACAAAATTCTGTGAGTTATTCCTGTACTTGAGGAATAACTGTAATGATTAAGGAGTGTAATTAAAATAGGTGTTAGAAATAAAATTTGTGATTTAATATATAATTACCAAACTAACCCTAAATGTGTCATGGACTGTGCAGTCCACCTCAGCTTAATTGCGTCACCCGGCGGCGGCCCCACATTTTACCCCTTAAATACTCCCCATAACAATAAGAAAATAATAATAAAAACTTATTTACTTTTCGAAATGGACCCTCGCCGGGTTCCTAGAAATGTGACCGACCCGAAAGTCCGGCAAGTCGGGTTCTTCGCACCCGTGGCCCCACCCGATGTCTCTATGTCGGCACTACCACGTCCGACCAGTCCATCTCCTCCGGTCTACGGCAACTCCTTGTCTCCCGTCATGATCCCTCCGCCGCGACACCTCACCTCCGACAACGCCCCACTCTCTCCCCTCAACGCCGCAGCTGGCGACTCTTTCGGCATTTACAACCCGTCGGAATTTTCATCCCCTAGAGCAACGGAGGACTTCTCGGAAGACAACTTCTCCGAAGACAACTTCTCCAAAGACACAGGCTGGATCCTCAATGAGAATTCTGGTAAAATTGCCACTTCATTGCCCACAGGTGGTCCCGATGTAGCCGCCTTGAAACAGAATAATCATGCCGCCGGTGGATTGGTCCCTGGCGTTACAGGTTAGGTTTTGTTTTCGTTTTCCTATTTTTCGTATTTATTTGTTTCTTTTTAATTTTTTTAAGAGAGTTTAATTGAATTTGGGTTTTGCTTGTGAAATTTGTTGAATTAGATGGAGGGCCACCTTCAGATGTGCAGAAGGAGCTGCCGCCAGCTAGTTCCATGCCGAAAAAGGATAAAACGACAAAGGCCGAAAGACGCGCTCTTCAGGAGGCTCAGCGAGCCGCCAAAGCTGCTGCTAATGGTGAATTTTTTTGAGTTGTTTACAAAGTTTTTTTCTTTTAACTTTGTGGTAATATAATTTTTGAGTTGATAATTTCTCTATTAATCAACTTACCAGAGCCACAATTATTCTTAGCCCCGTTTGGTGATATAAGTCAAAGTGAACAATTAATTTCACGAGGCCCGTAAATTTTCAAGCACACACTCTTTACTTGTCAGTGTCTGTAATTTTGTGCTTTGCATTATTAGCATGTATTGTCTATATTTTGTCAGAAAGCTGATCATCCGAGGAAATGCTGATTATGGATCTTAATATTGTTTGAATAATTTGTTTTCAATTTAACTATTTGGGTTAAGACGTGGGAGTGGAAATATTCATTTTCGTTTGAAAGTTATGGTACAAACGCTGTCAACAAGTTCATGATTTTCGTGGTTACTTTTTATTAATAAGAATATTCATCTTAGTTCCGTAAGATGGTTCAACCTCATGAATATGAAACTATATTTTAGTGCGCTGAATAATTGTCCTTTCCTTGTACGGATTTTAGTACGAAGGCTCACCCCAAAGAGCGAATATTCCTTTGCTTTTCGTTGGTATCGCCACTTGTTAGCAGGTAACCCGTAACCCACTCCTGGCAAATGGAAGACTTGGTATATAAAGATCGAACCTTTTTTCCTCGTTCTCTTTTCCCGCATATTTAAATACTTTGTAGCAACCCTTGCATTTGCAAGACGCGTCTTGCGTCTTTCCAGGAATTAAGTAATGGGTTCTTACTTTTCAAACCAATGATAAAAGAATCTTTGCAATCACGTTTAGTGCATGCATGAATGGATTATGTGATGTACACTTGCTAACTCCATTTCCTCAGCGTCAATAAGTTTTCTTTGTATGCCTTCTCCTTTTCTTTGGGGATAAATAGTGGCAAAATGTGTTTGTTCTGATTAATATCTTCATCATTTTGGAATTCAACTTGCAATCTGTCATATACTTCCACGATCTGTTTATCTTCTTAATAGTCAAAATCGTATTTATTCAGCTGATGGAAGTAAGAAGTCTGCTGCTGCTTTAGCAATGGTCAATTCAGCCAATGCAAATACAAAAAAGGTTGCAAAAGCTCCTTCACAAAAGAAAGACAGCTCCTTAGTTGCAACTTCTGAGAAAAGAGGTGGTGATCGTCAAACAGATAAAGATAGGAAGAAAGACGTTCCTCATCCACGTATGCAGTTTGATGATGAGAACCGAGTTGAGAAGGCAAATAAGCGTTCTATGGTAAAACAAACTGAATCCAGGAACAGAGTTGAACTATTTAGGCATCTACCTCAATATGAACATGGACCTCGGCTTCCTGACCTTGAATCAAAGTTCTTTCAACTTGAACCAGTTCATCCTGCAATTTATAAGGTAGATTCTTAGATAATTATTTTGTTTCCCTCTGTAACATTCTACGGATCCTTATAATTTTGGTGTAAGAACCTCCACCCTCGGACATTTTTGTTACAAATATTTAGTTATGGTCATATAATCTGATGTCGACTATTAAATTCATGGTCTGCACATGAAATCTTTTCTGGGAATCATGAGGTGGAAAGCTGCTTCTTCAGATAATAAAAATCCACTTATCTCTCTCTCTCTCTCTCTCTCTATATATATATATATATGAGTTTTTTTTTTGTTGTCAGGTTGGGCTGAGGTTTTTAACTGGGGATATATCTGGTGGCAATGCCCGCTGTATTGCAATGCTTCAGGCATTTCAAGAAGCAATCAAAGATTACTCTACTCCACTGGATAAAGAACTTACCAGGGACCTCCCTACAAAGATAAATGGTTATGTCTCATTTCTAATTCAATGCAGGCCACTTTCAATTAGCATGGGAAATGCAATTAATTTTCTTAAACCCAAAATTCCTGAATTACCTTCGACCATGTCCGAGTCAGAAGCAAAAGCCTGTCTTCTCTCAGATATCAACCGCTTCATAAATGAGAAGATAATTCTAGCAGATAAAGAAATCATGAGGCATGCTTTAACAAAAATTAGGGATGGTGATGTCCTTCTCACATATGGGTCATCCTCTATTGTAGAAATGATATTCTTATGTGCCCTAGAGCTTGGCAAACAGTTCCGAGTTGTGATTGTGGATTCACGCCCAAAGCTTGAAGGGAGGATGTTACTTCGTAGGTTGGTGGAAAAGGGTGTTAATTGTACTTACACCCATATAAATGCTATTTCTTATATCATGCATGAAGTAACACGAGTATTTTTGGGTGCTTCATCGGTGTTTTCTAATGGAACTGTTTATTCGAGGGTCGGCACTGCATCTGTTGCTATGGTTGCCCATCAGTTCCGTGTTCCAGTCTTAGTATGTTGTGAAGCATATAAGTTTCATAGAAGGGTTCAACTTGATTCAATATGCTTTAATGAACTTGGTAAGAACTCTTCATTTTCATTCAAATTGAAATGTCTCCTCCATTAGATATGGCTGTACATTCTGTTTCTAACATTTTCAGCTGTTCTCACATTATTGCAGGTGACCCTGATGCTATTGCAAGGGTTTCTGGTAAAGAAGATATTAATTATTTGGATGATTGGTCCAGTAGCCAAAATCTTCAACTTCTAAATCTGAAGTAAGTTTTGATTTTTAGATTTAGTAGTTGACCATGTATTGCAGACTAAAGTTTTGATTTCCACTCTAACAGTTATGATGCAACACCTTCAGACTACATTTCAATGATCATCACCGAATATGGCATGGTAAGTCAAAACAAGGTTCATATATATTACCATATTCTGCTATTAGGTTAAGCTATGATTATTCCTTGAAATCTCAGTGAAGTAATGCTAGCAAGATCTTGAGTTTGCTTTTTATGGTTGCATAATATATGGGGGTCACTGCTTCCCCTGGATATAAAGAATAATTGCGATCATGTTCCTCACTTGCCATCGTTTAATCACCAAACTGTGATCACCGTATGTCAAAAGAGTAATTACCCTTGCTAAAAATAGTCATTAGTCTAAGTAGTGAGTCAACCTGCAGCTTTCTCGACACACTTGGTGAGCTATGCAAGCTTGATGTGTACTTTAAAGATGAGGTGTACTCAGGATACTCGACAACTTTAACGAGCTCATAGCTCGGTCAGTACATTTTATAGAGTATTGATTTTAGCTTGATTTTGTTCTCCGCAAGTCATTCCAACCAGTTCTTTTGCTTATGTGACCCAAACTATGTAAATTTTATGATTCATTTAAATTTCGAACTTAAAAGTTGTACCTTCTATTCTTCCTCCAATATTTTGAAGCCCCTTAATGTTTGTTGCAATATGCGTAGATCCCTCCAACAAGTGTTCCTGTTATTGTTCAAGAGTACGGAGAACATTTATTGACATAGAGATGTAAAATACAAATATGCTGGCTTTGCTCTGCTCCTGACTACTCCCCCCAGATCTCACTGGCAGACATGGAAGCGATTTGGAGTAACTCTACTGCAACATCATACCATTTATTTCTTGTTGATCTTTCTTAACGATTTGCATCTCAAAACATACGTGTTTGTTTTGGTTTACAATTTTTGCTACTCCTGAAGAGTACGAATCATCCGCCTCTCCAGGCAGTTCTGACCAGTTGTTTTAGAAGGATAGATTTCTGTAAATTTAGAGCAAAACTAGCAACTTGAATGACTTAACATTTATAATACATACATGCATATATAGATGGCCAGCTTGCTTTAGTCTCACAATATTTCTTTCATATACTTAGCTTTGAACATGAGTGTAACTGCTAATTCTTCAACATCAGTCGGTTTAGAGTTCCACTTAATTTCAGTTAAGCTTCCTCATCACCCAATTTCGGGTCATAGGCAGTAACAAAAGCATTACAGTTGAAACATCATAAAAACTCAAAAATTTCATCTGATGTTTCTATAAATCTGGCAAAAAATGAAAATTTATTGACTTCAGTCTTTTCACATCTTTCTCTCTACAATAATGAGACTACTCTATAGATCCTCTTATAATGTCACCTTTGCCATACACAGGAGAGACAACAGCAAGAATAACAAAACCACCCAAAACAACTATTAATACACCAAGAGAGTTCACCACCAAGGCCTCAGACGAATAGCGTGATATTATGTTGTTTGTTTGAAGAAATGTCGCTTTCTCTAAAATACCTGTGGTGCAAGTAGCGATAGCTAGAGCATAAATATAAACACCAAAAAATACATGCCAAGGCAGCAGACTAGCTCTGCTGTTTCTTGAACCACCGGGATACCAAAAGGTAACAAATCCAGCAGCCCACTGCGAAAAAAAGTATCGAAATAATTAATAGACGGAATCTGAGAAAATATTTGAGAATTTGTTGAAGAAAGGGATTAAAAGGCTACCTGGATTCCAAACAAGAAAAGGCAGGCTAAGCCGAGCCAAGAGTGAAGGCTATAGAAGTTGTCAATACCCTTGTCATTGTGAAACTTCAAAGCAGCCCATACTCCAATGACGCTCAAACAGAATGACAAGAATTGCAAACACAGATGAACTGATTTTTTGAATTTTTTTGTTCCTGAGACAGTCTTGTAGGCCAGCATGGCTGCCGAAAGCCATACGAAGCAATTATAACTAATCCTGTGATGCTAGCAATATAGGCAATGATGACTAGGTACAATAAGAGCATGTTCAGACAAAATACAACAATTTACTATTATCGATATGCCTTAGGCATGACCATACATAACTTAGAAATCAGACGTGGAAAGGCTGGACAATTAATTAGAGCAAGTAGGTGCTAGATTGAAATTGATTGCAAAAATGGACAATCAGCCAAATTAAAATTTCTTAAATTGAGGGTAACAAAGCAAAAAAAGGTTGACATATCATAAGCAGGGAAATATATCTGTACCTTCGAACCACCAAATTTCCATAAACTGATTCTTCATATATTATAGAGGCAAGTTACGGAGATGAGCAGGATTTTTACGCATACCAATGTCAACGCATATTGAATATGCATATATTAACCATTTAAGTAGAAGTTTAATTTTACAGTTTACAGTACACTTTTCATCTGTCTTTCTGTTTCTTGTGCAGCCATAGAGAACACCAAAAATAGTCCCTGTTCGCTAACCTCAAAGTTCCTCTGGACTATTTAAAGATTTTGAGACAACTTCGTCTGGGGTTCAAAATTTATTGAGAGGTTTATTCAATGATTTTGAGAGAAGGTAGGTGTTTGAAACAAGTGCCTATGTTGGTTATAAAAATCCATATTTTTCCTTTTTGAAGGAATATATTATATTTTAGTAGTGTAAGCAAAATTGGAAGGGAACACTTGTTTAGATTACCAAACTTCCTTGTGTGCAACACAACTGCAATATTTATATACGATTACATCTTCTTGCACTTCACTGTACTGTTTTGAGAGTAAAAGTATAATGCATCTGTACCATAAAAATTGTAATCGGCTTGTACCATAGAATAAAACATAATGTCCACAAATCATTTTGATCATGGTATTATTGACTTATATTAGCAGGTAAATGACTCAAATAAAAGCGCACCAAGTTGCTTAAGTCTAAGCTAATAAGGCTGTTGCTACCATTCATCTGAAGACTTCTTTAAACTCATCAAACAAATTGTCATTTTAAAGGAAGGGAGTCGTAACTTTCAGAACAAAGTACACCGAAACAAACCATAAATTAAAGGTTTCAATGCCTTCATCTCAATAATCCACAAAATATCATACAAAGACATTTGGACGGTAGGTTGGTAACATGGCAACTTATCACTGTTGGTTTAATGCACGTATTATTTTTTGTTAATTTGGGATATCATAAAAGGAATTTGAAAAGGAGATGGGAGGAGGATGGGACAACCGGGTAGTCGATATGGCACCTATAGGACATGTTCGTTACACAGTAATGGACATTGAAAAAATATAAAATAATCCTATCCAGTACTCTCCAATAGAAAACGCCATTAACTATTAATGAGATTGCTAGTCCCTTATTGATGTAGGACAGACTGTGTCAATTTTTTTTCTTTGATTTAATGTTTTAAGGCAATATTGATGACATATAATGGGAATTGAATTAGGTCCTACATTGTATCCTTACCTTCACCATTCAGAAGTACAAGACTAATCACCATTAAAACAGGATGGACCTACATAATTCACAATACAGAAGATCAGTTTCAATCAGAAGTCAAAATAAGTTCAAAAGTATATTGATCTACACCATCTAAATCTTAATCAGTCAGAGAGTGGAAAAACCTATTTATTAAAATTAACTGTTCAACAAAACCCCTTCTGTAACAAAACAGCCACCATTTTTTAAGTGTTCAGCTCCTCAATTTAATTGTTAACCAATCATAATGATAACATGATTAATTCGAGAAAATAAGGAATATGTAAAAGTTAAACAAAAAGTGGAAAGTACATTGAAAATTAGATCTTTGTTATCGGAAATTAGAGCCAAGCCACCTCTGTAATGCACAGTCCAGGTTAGAACCAACGCCGTTACCGCGATTCCGATTATCCTCACCACCGGAAATATTGGAAACCGAACCACTGGCACCGCCATTGGAAATTTTGAGAGAAAAAACTGAGATAAGGAAACTGTATTTATTGCAAGATCAAAATTGAGGGTTTTGCATAGATCTCTTATTACTTTAATTAATTTGGCTGTTATTTGACATTTAGAGAGAGAGAGAGAGTTGACTTTCAAGGGATTGCCAGGTCAGCATGACCTCCACGACGGACACAATTTAAGATAAGTATAAAAATAATATTATTTTCCAAGAGATAAAAAAAAACTATGTTTGTGCTGTATAATAATTTAGAATAATACTATTTACCATTATAACGATAAAATATTGGTGATGTGATTGTTTATGTGAAATAATGAGATTGTGCAGTTCATTTCTTATGAGAGAAACGGAGAGAAAAATATGAGGGATAATGAGCTGGCACGTCATCAATATTCGATGAGATAAGCAATGGAGAAAGTAGATACAATCTCGACCCAAGTTTCGCCCTTCAATTTTCCTTCGAAATTGTGTTTGTTACGAGTCAAAATGTACGTTTGGAAAGAGAGATTTCGAGTATTTGATGCATATATTTCAAAGAGAGTAGCTTGTGTATACTTATGCTAATCTGTTTATGAAATCCAATTTTCGAAATCGATAATTTGTTTGTACAAAACCAAACATTTAATTTTGATATTTTAGAAGTGGTTTGAAACCAAATTGAACTGGTAAAAAAAGAATCATGCAAAGTCACAAACTTATTGTCAGACTTTGTCATTAGTCACAACTCACAAGTTGACAAAATAGTGGAAGGTGACCATTAAAGGACAATTGACATGGACAGATGTATATGATTGTTCAGTTATGTCACAGGTACAGATGTATATGATTGTTCAGTTATGTCACAGGTACGGGAAAAAGTTGACAGAATCTTTATAGAACAATACCTGACAATTTTTCATCGGTTTTAAACCCAATAATGACAGAAAATGCACCACACATGTTGCCAGCGAATAATGCTAGATGACCATAATGTTCGGGCTCACATGTTGGCGGACCGACCCGACCCAGACCACCCGGATTGACACCTCTAAAAATAGTGGAAGGTGGCCATTAAAGGACAATTGACATGGACAGATGTATATGATTGTTCAGTTATGTCACAGGTACGGGAAAAAGTTGACAGAATTTTTACAGAACAATACTTGACAATTTTTCATCGGTTTTAAACCCAATAATGACAGAAAATGCACCACACATGTTGTCAGCGCATCGCCTGTATGGTTTCTGTGAAATATTCCTTGTACGCAGGGAATTATTCATGATTGTTACTCTATTTTGTTGAGAAGATTAGACCAAATCATGGCATACATTTGTTTTCTCAATAATCAAGTATTTATTAAAAAAAAAACTAATTTAAATCGTTTTTTAGTATTTCAATTTATATTTTCACGAATCCTAGTAATTGGGGTAATATTATCTAATGTTTAATTTTTAAAATCCAAATTCCCTTAATTCCGATCGTCGTTCTCGTGATTTGAAGACAGAAAGTCCATCCTTGTTAAGAATTTATTCCCTATTCCTTGTTGAGAATGACACGTGCCCAACTTGACCCATTTTATACACGTTCATCACAAGCTTACATGAAAAAATGAAGTAACAAAGACACCAATGTCATATTATATAGGAGTATACAAATGGAGGTCACGAATATAATTTTGGCAAATAAAGGTATGATCAAATGCGGTAGAGGTCACAAATAAATTTTACACAATTAGAAAATTACACAAGTCAAATCATGGTATTTATATTTATTTGTTACATGGACAATCGTATTATAAGTCACAACATACGTTAAATCTTTATCGTGTTTCACTTTCGTGGTCACAACAAGAAAAATGATATAAATGGATGACTATGGAGAGAGTACTATTTTGCTGAAATTTAGGGTGGAATATGGCGAGAGAAAATATATTTATATATTAATTTTGTTCTTGTTATCATCTTTTTTCAAAAAAAAAAATTTGTAAATTACAACCAGATTTCTGAAAAGTTTCTCAAATTTTGATATTTGTGAAAACGTAAAATTAATGATTGTCGTTACAATTACTTTGTTTCGTTTGATGTACACGATGTCGTGTTTATTGAAGAGCAATTCCATTGACTAATTTTCATCAAAACTAGGTATTTGCATTTGTGCTAGTCAGGTTCTTTTGAAAAAGAAACCAAGTCGTTTTGACTCGTGTGAAACATAACCAAGGCCCTGAAATTGCAAATACATGGACAAGAATTAGTCATCAAGCAACAAACTGCACTGGTTAAATGAAGATGGGCCAACTTCAAATATTGTACATGAACAACGGAGAATAGTCGAAGAAAGAAATACTGTATTAATATATAAACTATTTATGTACAACTTCTGTAACCATACACGGTTTATTATCTAGAATGTTATGTGTAATATGGAAAAAGATATATGTACAGAGGAAATCTTGCTAGATGTTTTACAGGTGCTGCTGTGGCAGCTCCTGGTTGGTTACTTTTTTCTTTTTTTGCCTCTGTCGAATGAAAAACTGTCAACTATATTTGTAAATAATCTGGCAGAGCTTTATTCTGTAAATGTAGCATTGTCCGTGTAATATGGAAAATTAGTTTAGCTTACAGATGTTTGTTCTGATACTGTGCAACAATTTGAGCAGTCCAGTCATGTAGAGGCTACCCTCGTTTGACGACTTGCAGACTGCGCTGTGAGAGTTTTCCTCTTTTTGATATCCCTGCATAATATTTATTGTAAGTTAGAAATCGAAATCAGTGCAGCGAGGAAGCAAGAAGGATGTGGATGAAAATAATAACATACATGCAACGCGGCATACGGCAATTGGAATCTTTGCAGTCCTCCGAGTGCAAAAGCAACAGATACCAGATTCTCTTACACTTCTTACAATCACCGGCTAATCGAATTTCACATTCATGTGAGTGGCGAAAAAGCCATTTGATATGAATGCAATTACGATGTGAACAAGGGTTGTCTCTTGTTGCTCGACACTGATTAGCATGCTCTAGAAGATCCAACATTTCTTTTTTCTGCATCAAAAGTTTTATTGAATGTTTAAAATAAAAAATCGTAGAAAATCCCTCAAAAGCAATAGTTCTATTTGATGATCACGGAAGCAAATATAAAGGATTTTGGACATTTCGAATATTTATATTTGTAATCTAATTAACAAGTACAAGTAGATATCAACTATACCTTAAATGCTTTGCGCTCTTCGAGTTCTTGTTTATTCTTTGTTTTGCAGTCGGTTTCCAGTACGTGCGGAATTAACAGGTGGACATGACAGCCTTCACCTTCTTTTGAATAGCACGTAGAGCAAACATCGAAACCTGGGCAAATCTCACAATGCCATTCCAACACAACGTCATTATGACAAAGGCTGCAGGTTCTCCGCTTGGTTAATGCTGTCATTTTGTGGAGGTGATACAGGATCATCATGGATGAATGTTTAGCACGGCGAAGTGTGTCAAATTGATAACTATTTTCCTCACAAAAGCTCAAGAAAGAGCGTCTATCGCTGAAGATATCATTATCTAAAATGACATCGTTATCCTCCGTGTCAGCAGGTACGTCATTCACCAAAATCTGGAGAAGGATTAGCACCCCGAGGAAAATGAAGAAAATTCAAGGTGGTGAAGTGATTTCAAAACCATGGAAATTTGTCTGCAATAAACTTTGAAGATTTTGGAATTTACCTGAGACAGTAGATGTTTTTCTCCACTGATGGAAATGTGTGTTTTCAACTCAGTAGGACATTTAACTTCAAGGCATCTGAGATAATAACACAGAGTAAGAATATAGAATCTACTTTCAGAATTTTTTTTATCAAATCAATGAAAGGTCATTAAACAAGTCCTTCGAGATGCAAAGGTTGTGATGCACAGAGAATATACGTTGGGAGAGCATAAATCATAATTTGATAACAATTTATATTATTGAGTTTATCTTGACTGAATATGAGACGCATCTGAACTAAATGATGCTTTGTTTCCAGGGGTAAGGTCGTGTTTTCTGACTGTACAGAAGACTGATAACAATATGTTTGGTGTTAACAAATTGCAATTCTCCAAAAAAGTCATTTCCCAAAATAAATGACGAAGTACATTTAATGCTATCAAAATTGAAGATTGATTACAGAATTTTAACTTATAATTATTCTTACCTATCATTTGATGAGATATAAATGCACGGTAGATCCAAACTTATGCGACAAGTAATCTACAAACTGTAGAAATACATAATAGCTCAACCTTTCTATTCATGTGCCACAGACCCTACAATTCTTCCCCAGGTTGGGAATGATTTTATTTTTAATTTTCCAAAAAATCTATAGGGCATGCTGGGGTTTCTTGGTATGGGCCTACTAGTTTCACTGGTCTTGATCGTTATTACTTCTTCCCCATGAAAGAGGAAAAGACATGTCTCGTAATGTGAAGTTTGATTTAACTTTCCAAAGCATTCATTATGTATAGACTCTCGATCCACCTAATGAAGATTGTGTACACCTTGAAAAGATAGACACTGAAAGTTACACGAATTTCAGCTAAAGGGTTAAGAAAGCGAAGAGCTTCCAGCTGCTCAGAAGGACATATTTATGGACATATGATTATAGAAGCAGCTAATTTAAGTAAGTATTTCACTGCTTCAGCATGAATGATTTTATTTTTAAGACCTTTGTAATAATATGATGTGATTCAGAAGGAAGGCAAATATTTCCCAATTCCAGATGAAAGTATAGTGATAAACAAAAAGTTATTACATGGATCAATAAATGTCAGAATCATGGTGCAGAAATAATTTATGTGAATCCAAGGAAACATTTAATCACTCTAAAACATAAATACTTTTCAATTGTGACTAAGAATATGATGCAATACAACAATGTTATTAGCCATTTCACGTGCAGCATTTATTTTTATCTCTTGTAGAGCTTGGTGACTGGAAGACCCAAAAGAACAAAAGCACAGATTGACAGGGGTACCGATATAAAGAACAATGTTTCTTGCTAGAATGTCAATTATTGAAAATAAAAAGACAAAGCATGACGTTGAAGATGATAATCACCTTGCACATAAATGAAATTTTTTGCATTGTTTACAAGCCCAACGACTTCCAGATAGTATCACTTCGTGGCAGTTTGTACAAGTGAACTGCAAGCGGAGAATGATAAAGTCTTCCTTTGTAGCTAGGATGGTCTGCCCCAGCTATCAAACAGGGGAAAACAGGAAAACACCTTGCATCAGTAGATAATACAACAGAAGACAAAAGTAATCAGTCTTTAACCTTTCTCAGCGGAGACCCCTTAGACAATCAAAAAGAAAGAAAAAAACAACCAGTAGAATTTCTTAAAAACAAATTCTGAGTATCAACTACCACAGTATCCATTTACATATTACTTGCTTGTACATATCTGTACATTAATCAATGTTGTTAAGTTGGTTTGAATGTCTTCATTGGAAAACAGCGTTGTTGAAAAAATGATGCAAAAACTATGCCCAAGATCAACAAGGATACCAATAACCAAAGAATACAAGATGGACAAGAGCAAGAAAAACATAATATAAATATCCACGATCGAATATAACTAAAAAGTTTACCTCAAAATAATGTTTCTTTTGTTGAATTTGTTTTTAAGCTATATACAAAATCAACATACCACTCTTGGCGTGTTGACCAGGCAAGGTGGGTTAGAACCTGAATTTTCTATGCAATTTGCTGTGGAAATACCATGAGGCTAAACATCTCTCTAATAGTTCACAGAAATTCCTTCATTGAAACCTAACCAACGTTACTTGCTTCCTGTTTAGTGATGAATTTTTCCCCTCAATTGATTGGCAAGGAGTTTAGTGCAGAGAGATCATATCATTCAACTCTAAGGTCTAAAAAAGATTCACCCTGCTCTAATCTGACATTTGTGTGTTTCCTGGCACTGGCATTGAATAGCGAGACCTCAGCACTTTCAAGCATCAAATTTACATACTTTACTTACCCTTAAAATATATTACACTGCTCCAATAATGTAAATAACAAGTATAGAGTATGTAAAATCCAAGTTTACACATGAACTGCAACATCAAGAATTCTCTAAGAAATCTACCTTTTCCATGACCATCAAATCTTTTGTTGCATCGGCTGAAAGATCACTATGTCCCATTGATTTTAAAGTTCTCCGTCTCCTTAGCTGTTGCACCATCTTCTCAGATCCTTCTCCACTTCCTTTTTCAATATTTTGCATCACATCCTCAGCAGCAGTTGACCAATAGGCTCCATCAAAATAAGGTAAGCGAGCTGCCGTTATCTTGACATTGCATTCCACATTCGGAACAAAAAAGTGATCATAAAAATTGGTGTGATCCACCACTATATTCTTTTCTACTGCTTTTCTAATCATTGACTTGTACCTGTACATAGAAAAATTCTCTGAACAAACAGGACAGCAAAACTTTAAAGACAAATAGACAATTGTTCAGAATAAGAAGTCCAACTTCTGTAATGAACTTATTCAGGCTGACATCAGAACACTTGTGTGCACAAAGATAAATTGGAAAGCTACCTAACCAAAAATATTGGCGTAGTATAGCATGACGAATACTTCCTATGTTGTACCATTTTATAATTTAACACTGTGCACAAGAAGGAAGGGGACGGGGGGGATAAAGAAAGATATATACCAGTGACGCAGCTTATCTGACTTCGGTGTTTTTTGAGTATCTGGATGACAATATAAAATGTAATCTTCCCCTTTTATAGGTGGGCACGCCCATATATAGCAAGTCGTAAAACCACATTTCTTGCAGTAATCAAGGTATGCAATCTGCAGTCACATCAGATGAAAAGAAAATAGCTCAGTCAAGTCACGTCGGTCCCATTAACAACTCTAGTTGCTAAACAAAGAAATGAAGAAATGATGTAGTTGGAGACAGAGCAATTACCAATATCTCATGGTATACAAAGGTACGTAGAGCCTCACCGGTAGCAGCTCTAATTTCAGGTCTAAAATACTTAACCGAATCAAGATACGAAATATAGACGCAACGCTGATTGGGTGATCTGCAATCTGACCCAAACTTTTGGACATACATACCAAAGAGACAAACATCTACACCTTCAATTTTTTGAAACAATAGGACCACCTACAATAAAAGGATTGATCAACAAATGAAACATAAATGGAATATAAAGAAAGGAAACAATGAGATAAAAACCAAAAATACTTTCATAAAAATAGTGAAAATCTATATTGCATGTGTAACTTCCTCCCACTTCCTCATTATATCATATTATAGCTCCATTCATTTACATAGGCGGAGGTTATTCAGGCGGTATCAAGCATGAGAAATCGAAAGTTAAGGGGTAAAGAAGTCGAGGAGGAAACCATATCAATTCAACAGAAAACTGATGCCTATCCAGAAGTCACAATACTGCTCTTATGAACAACAGTCTCTTTAAGTCTACGCAAGACATATCCTAAATACCGAAGTCATCCTTCCCTTAATTTAGCCTCAATTGTTGCTAGCTCCTTGTTGTATGTATGTTCTCATTTCTTATCCCAGCCATACTAGTATGACCACAACCAGACAANATATATATATATATATATATATATACATGCACAAGGAGGAACTTTAGCAAGATCTGTATAGAACCATCATGTAAGAAAATCTAAATAGAATGATAGGTCTAATAAATTGTGGCATAAATACACGTATACTACTGTAAAATTTACAAATGAAAACTTAAGCATACGTCAGCAACTTTGATGAACTAAATAAAGATATCTGCATCTTCAAATAAGTATATTTTCTAGTTCTTTTTTGTTGTTTTCATTAACAAAAACCTATTAATACAGGTAAACAATAAAGTGTTAATAAACCTTATCTTGTGATCATGCAACTTGGGCTAGTTTAGTCATTTTACAACTTGCTGACAGATTTGTTAAGGTTCCTCGTGGTATTGTGGAGGACATTTTATACACGTTGACAAATTTTATTTCCTTGTTAATGGTATTGTTATCGATACTCAACTTGTGCATGATTCTAAAAAGTATATTTATGTTATTTTAAGACGTCCTTTTTTCACAACATGCAATGCTATTATTAATTGTCTAAATGGAATAATGCAATTATCCTTTGATAATATCACCACTAATATAATGCCCCAAAATCGTTTACAGTCGTTCATTATGAAAATTAGGACCTTAATGTAAGAGAATGAAAGTTAGAGGACAAAATTGTATATCGACCAACAGTTGAGGGACTACAAGTGCATCTCTCTCTCTCTCTCTCTTAAGTATAACATGGAATATTTAAAGTAGGGATGACAGCTATGGAAATGTGCTATGCAAGTGTCGTTTTTAAAATTAAAAAAAAAATAAAATAATAATAATAATAATATATATATATATATATACACGAAAATAAGTTAGGAAGATTCATTCAGTAAACTACCATATATATCTGTGAATATATAATATATATAATTATGATTAATTGAGTTAATTGTATGATTACTATAATTACGCGTGTCTATATATTTATAATTATGATTGATAGAGTTAAATTATAGTATTACTACAATTACGTGCGTCTATTTATGTATCATTATATGTAATTATGGTTAGTTGATTTAAAATATAGTATTACTATAATTACGTGCGTCTATATATGTATAATTATATATAGTTGTGGTTGATTAACTTCAAATATAGTATTACTACAATTACGTGCGCCTATATATGCATAATTATGCTTCTGTTTGACCCTCATTAAATTAAAATTCATTTTTCTCTCTTCTCTTATCAACCAAATATTCTCCAATAAAATAATATTACACGTAAAATTAAAAACTTTCCTTCTTTTTTAATCACATATTCTCCTAAAAATTACTATTCCCCTCATTATAATTGGGAAAAATGGAGCCCAAACGGGGGCTATATATAATTATGGTTAATTGATTTCAAATATAGAATTACTATAATTACGTGTGTCTATGCATATATAATTATAATTTATTGATTTTAAATTATATAATAACTAATGCGTGTCTATATATGTATGATTATATCTAATTATGATTGATTAATTTAAAACCTATGTCAAAGGCCTTAAGAACATAATACAAACATTTGAAAGATTACTAATTTAATTTGTTTTAGATACTCCTATTTAGAATAGGAATTAAATCATGTTTTGATCGAATGGAGTTTTAACATGGGATAATATATAGGACTTCACAAAAATTATCAAATGTGAAAATTTAGATTTTATAAAGATTCTAAAAGGCATAAGGTGTGATATTGTGGAAAAGTCGAGTGTCAAGCCTTACGAGCTAGGCATAATAAGGTGTTTTATTATTTTTAATATTATTTTAATCATTCTAAGATTTTTAAAAATAATACCTTTTATATATAAATTAAAAATTGAAAAAAATAAATAATAAAAGGCGCGCGAGTTTTGGCGCCTAGGTTCGCATTAGTTGAGCCTTTTGGTGCCCAGTCACGCCTTTGCCGCCTAGGCAGGCATTATATGCTGTCAAAATAAAGTTGACTGCCTTTCGCATATGTAGAGTGCCTTCTTCACTTTTCATGCCTAGGCCCGACTGGGTCCCACCTTTTCAAACACTGGATTGATTAATATAATGATATTATTAAATCAGATTTCGTGGCTGGAAGGATGACATTTGGGAGGTTATGAACAGGATTACCGTGTTCAAGAAGCTCGAGCCTATGCTGAGCTAAAGTGCATATTATTATCAACAATAAATTCTGCCACCTCAAATTAACATGTCAAAAAGAATAGTTATCCTTTTTGTATTCAAACTTTGTACCTTGGTTCTAGAGATGAGATTAAACCTAATCCTGACTAATTACATAAAACCAAGTGTGGTATACACATAAAATAGGCAGAGAGAGATAACTTGGGGACGGATCTTTGGAAAAATAAAATCTGCAATATTCTTGCTGGCTGATATTTAGGATACAAGTTGTGAACTATTCTTTGTACCGAATTTCTATGACATGTCTCATAAAACATCATTAGTTTAAGAGCTTAAGACTAAGAAAAGATAAATCTTGAGTTGCATAAGATTCGCGTACACCACAAATGATAGTATTGGTTGGAAGACACCATGATTTTTGGGATTTGGAGCTCGTGCATAAATATTCAGGTTCGGTCTTTGCTCTCATTAAGTATAATTTAACCCTTCCATCTCCAATTTATTATAACTATGTATCCTAATCTACTCTACTGCAGGCTAAATGATGCGATGACAAGACAGCAAACAATATTGCTGCAGTAACTTTCATTGGCTGCTATCGTAGGAAACATTTTTTCTTTGTGAAAAAAACTTTGAATTGTAGTGTAGGCTGCTGCATTAGGTTGAGGGTTTAAAAATTTGGGTTTATGACTGTGGGCATAGATCAGCTATGATGTTGGGTTTTATTGATGTATGTACTTATATTTTTTGTAGTTGAAGGGGTCTGGGAAACTCTGGGAAATCTTCAGATCTACAACCAATAATAATAGCCAGAACCAGTTGCTCCAATGAAAATGAAAAAACTTGGACTCAGGAACAGAAAAGGTGCAAAGGGGCAATGTTGCAATTTACTATGGGTGTAAGGAAGATACTAACAAGAAAGTTTTGATGTGCGTAGTAGATATACGTGTCTACAATTTAATAAAAAACTAAGAAATTTTACAAGAACGCCATAGCATATATGTATAGGTAGTTTTGTGAAAGTGAGTACACACACTGTTCATGTAGAAAATTTGTTCTTCCTATATTTTCAGGGCGAAGAACTAATGACAGGTTATTTAAGTAATAAGGCTTATCTTAATGTTTATTTGCTAAATTTTCATATAAAATTGGTTAGCAAGATTTATAGGTTATGGAATTTTTGGCACAATCAGTGTTGATCTAATCTCAGGCTTGAGTAATACTACACAATAAACCTAACCACATTAAAGTTTCGCAAATTCATCATTCAATCCTAGTCAAGATCTGGCAATCAATATTGGGACATACTATACGTGTTGCATCAATGCAAGAACATGTCTTGGGATGAGATGGCAAAAAAAGTTTATTTTCCACCACAATGTTCAAGCATTCTACAATTTGGCCTTCAATCCAATCTTTTCTTCTTTTTCATGGGTCAGAGCGAAGAGGAAATGAGGGGAAATAATCTGAAGCCTAGTCATTTGTTTTTACCATACGACTAATTGATTTATCCTCTCTATGATCCTATTTTTTTGTAAGGTCATCCAACCTTAGTTCCTTTAATTCTTGGGCAGAATGAAAAGAAAATGAGGATACTTTTAGTGAAATCATATGTATGAATGGAATGATTAATTTGATTCAGTATCTGGTCTAACACTTCATGATGCAATTGAAACTGGACAATAGACGAGCAAACAAATATAAAAAATGAATTGTAAGAGTTGTTAAGCAATTGTCATGTCAAACAGATAAGAAAATGTCAAATATGAATTGTATATCAGTTTTTGCAACTTACCTCAGTAGGAGATTTTCCAGATAATTTTGCCCTCTCTTTTCTCTCTCTGTCAAGGCTCTTGAAGAGTCTTAGCTCTATATGATCACTAAGCTTAGTTCTGGGAAGATCTTCTGCCCCCAAAGCAGTAGGTATGGTCACATGCTCTTGAACTCCTATCTCAGCTAAGCGGCAAAAAGGACAAATGTATTTTCTTTTCCCTTCCAAATCACTTTTTGGATTATACAGCGCACAAGTCTGATGTTGCCAGCATTCACATTTGTCACATTGTACCCACTGAAAACACACAAGTAAAGGGATAAGGTATTAAACTTAAAATAAAATAAAATAAAATTTACAACCAAAAGCTCAAAGGGGACCAAGCTGACCGATTCTTCAATTCCTGCTGTATTTTTGTACTTTTGCAGCTTAGTTTTGGGAAAAGACAGCCCTCTAAACGAGATTTTACCACCACGGGACTTCCGGAAGCACAACGTGCAAAAACAGTATCGTGCATCCATTTCATCCTGTGTCCAATAATAAGTCATATTGCTCTTGATACAAGCTTCGCAGTATGAACAATATATGGGTGGTGAAGTTAGCATAATCCTATCCCTGGCACACAACTGGCAGGTATTCTGACCAAGGGATTGGGCTCTTGTATTTTCAGTTGATCCCTTCATGATGCTCTATCAAAAAGGAAAAACATCAGTAGAACATCTACTTGGCATGTTTCGAAAAGAAAGAGCAACTAACATTTCCAAGAAAAGATTGCACCGGGCAAAAGACGGATTACCAAAATCCAAGCAAAATTTCAAGAAAAGAGATTAAATTTGGGCAAATCTCACTGCAGATAATGGGAATATTTTATCATTTCTTTCACTAATCTCTCTCTCGTCTTGTTCTATAGCTTAATTAATTATCTGATCCATTAAACATAATATGAAGGAAGAACATGTTGACGGAAAGCGGCAGGTTTAGTCATAGAAAGTGGATAGTGTCAAAATAGGTGCTTAAAATCTTCATACACTGCTTGCAATGAACGTGGTTAAACACCGCAGCCACATGCATATATTGAAGTACAAGGAACGAGTTATGAACCACAATCCTGTATTGTCTCCAGAACACCTAAAATTACTTCATGACTCAATTTAAAGTGTAAAATATCTACGCTAGGAAGAAATATTTACAAAATCAATGGTATGTTAAGACCCAAAACCTCTGAAGTACATAATGATCTTAACTATAGTCCATATAGCCTATTTACTTTTCCTCATAATCTACACTACATTTGCCTATGTACGACACACTTAACTACCACCATCAACAAATCCACAAGCACGTGATCATTTGCAACACATCTTACGATAGCTCAACCAAGAAGAAGACTTAATTCATAAGAAAGAACTTCAAGTTTAGGAAATCTCAACCTAGTTTAGCTGTTTGGGTGGAGTTTCTGAGAACAAATAATCAAGATACATGGTCCCAAACGGAGATGAACAAAGAAAACTTCTTAGAGTGCTCTAAAGAAATTTGTGTCTATTTGTGTAGTTAAATCTTAGGAAATTAATTGAAGAAAAGAGAGGCTGTATATGTAACATATTTCATGTCTACTGTCTAGTGAGTTCAGGCCTTAAAAAATCTATATATGGGAATGTTAAGTAGATAAGTCCATTAGAGATATTGTTATTCCTCACGAATTATAAAATCAGGGAGATATAAAAGCTAAACTGGGTAAGAAAAAATATTTGACAAACCTGACCAATGCACTGGTTGAGACTACTCAAGTGTTCCTTTATTTGCTGTGTGTTGAAAAAATCAGTTAAAGAAACACCACATCTTTTTGAATACTCTGACTCCATCTGCAACATACAATTAGCTGCAGATTCAGCCGAAGAACAGTGCATATCTATTTTGGCGTAATTAGCCTTGTCCTTGATATTGCTATCTGCTTTCACATTAGTGCACTCCTCAGAAAGAACAGACTTGCTGTCAGAATTAAAGCCTTGAGAAGTCAAAGTCACATCGGTTTTGACCTCACTAGTGTTTGTACCATCCATCACCGGAGGTGACTCTACGGACGTTAACAGATCCTTGTTCGTCTCACTTGAATCTTGCTGATTGTACATAGGACCTTCAGATGACTTCTTCAATTCCGAATATACTACGGTTCTTCTGAAGCAGGCATTGGCACTCTCAAGTCTATTTTTATCTACAGCAAAATTTACAGCTATTAGAGGATCTTCCAGACTTCCACATGGTTGATTCACAGGAAGAGTAACTGCACCAAGAGCATTGCCACACTTAAATCTAATGTTATCTACAGAACACTTCGCAGGTAACCCACCTCTTATGGGGTCTTCCATGGAGCTTGACGGTTCATATTTCATTACCAATTCCTCTTCCTCAAAATACATAGGACTTCCAAACCTCTTCCCCAAGAGTGGATGTCCTTCAGTTTTGCATCGTTGATTCACTGGAAGAGTCACTGCACTAGGAGGCCTGTTGTGGGACAGAATACTGCTTTCCATCTTTGTACGTTTCGAAGGAGGTTGAACATCTTCAACAATGCAGGAACTCATCCAGTTAGAATCTTTAGCATGGAGATCTTCTGGCAGGTCTCTTTTTAATTTTCCAGCTCCTGATTGAGTTTCACCAGTAGGATACAACTCTCGAACAGGTCCACATATGCTACAGCCCGTATCATGACAGTCATCAAAATGGGATATCAGTATATAGTAAATTTCACACTCACATTTTTGTACATTGCACACATTCAAGTGCAAATAATCCAAAAAGTTCTCTCGGATTGTCCCTGCATTCACTGGAATGCTTTTGTAGGTAATATATAAGAGAAGAATATCATCCAAAGACAGAATGGATTCTTTACGTTTGGCAGCTCCAACTGGACCGAAAGATGGTGCTGGACCTTCTAAAGTATCATTATGAAAACAAGTTTCTTGTAGCTGAACTTCTTGTTGTTGAACCATACACGAATATGTGGAGCACTCTATTTTTGAGGTGCAGCCATGTGACTGGGCATTTGACGACTTGTCGAAATATGCAGGCTGCTGGTGACAATTATTTGATCCCAGCATCTGTAGCTCAGATTGCAATGGCTCGTCATGGCTGGATTTTGATTTCCAGGCAGTCATAGTAGAGAAAGTGCCAGAATCTCCCGGAATCCTTTCTGATACCTGTTGTGGGAGCCAATTTCTGTATTTATCTAGCACGACATTCTTCCCAAATGAAAATGGAGCATCCATGTGATATGCATTCAGATAGTTCTCTGTAAGACCTCCATCTTTTAGCAGATAGTTCTCTGTAAGCCCACCCTCTTTTATCAGATTTGATTCCCCTGTTTAAAATAATCATTAGAGGGGCAAAAGGTCTGGTTCAAAATCACGTAACATGGAAAGACAGAGAACCTTGGCTAACCATTACAATAGGATAACACATTATCTAGAATAAAGCACCAGAATCGATCTTAAGTTGAGTAAATTAGATCAACCTAGGATGATGATGAAATGTTCAAATAGAAAATTTCAAGAAAATAACGAAAAGAATCAGATGTTGATCCATATTCTTAATCACTTAAGAATATCAAGCACATAAAACACTGAATATCAAATTTTTCACTTCAAAAATCAAATGATATATATGATTAACGCATCAATTAATTCAATGATACAAAAGAATCTGGGAATTTTAGGCACGGTCGAGAAAATAAGATTACCCTTGCAAGAATCAAGAATCATTTGGGAAATAGAAAAGGTTCTGAGAAGAATTGATTAAAGGAAATTAATCACTATTTATTTCACATACTATAAAGCATATAATTCAGTCAGGATAAACAAATTAAGTTAGATTATCGGTATAGTTCCCGAGTTTGAAATTTAGAGAACTAAACATTAGTTTTTGGAGTAATACCCTGATCACCATATTTCTGCAGAGTATAGTTTTTTGATGTTGACTCGGATACCTCTAAACTGCTACAGATATTAGAATATCCTGTGATAGAGGAGATATGATCTAAAGAAGGATCAACGTCGCCGACAACTTGCATTAGATCCATCGGGAAGAACACATTCTTTCCATCAGAAGCAACTAGTTCCTGGCCATTACTACAAGGTCCTGCATTTGAATTACCACGAAACACTATTGTTAAGATTCAGTTTCGAAAATTAAAAGTTTAACATGATTTAGTTGAAGTTGAAAGACCTACCTTGAAAGCCATGAGAATCATTGACGCCATATGTTCTGTTCGTACTACAGACAGCACGTGATGGCACCGAGTAATCAAACCCAGGGTAAGGTGGATTTGAGTTGTAAGAACTAGACGAAACATGTAAGCCTGGTGTTGTTCTAAGAATAGGCATCCAGGAGGAAACAAGAAAGGAAGATGCTTCATGATGCACACTATTATACCCAATTTCATGCTGGATTAGGTTTTCCAATTGACAAGATTGCATGTCCTGGTTCGGGCAGTCCTAAAAGAATTTGAAAATGTATGAGCTTAGGTATATGTCATGCATATCAAAGACCCGAAAAAGAATTCCAGCCAATTTATTCCTCTAGAAACATTGTCTTAATCAGCGGAAAGTAATTCTATTCATCTTAAAAGCATGCAACTTATCATCCACATCTCAAACTGATATAATACAACGTGACTAACAATGATAAAAGCTAGAATTCTACAAAAAATGAAGCCAAACAACTTTGAATTACATCCATACAGAAAAAAGATAGTGAATGGAAATAATGACAATAAGAAAAGTAAATCGCTGATCGACTGTCTAGAGGATACCTCGAAAGCAGAAACCCCAGATAGCTGTAGTTCCATGTCAGTTACAGAATCTGATCTCTGTTTTCTTGATCCTGAATATATTTTCTTCTGGAGGTTTTCCTCACTGCAGAAAGATGTGAGACAAATATTATACATTTCAAAACCAGAATGGATGGCTACAGGTTCGATGATTAAACTTGAAGCAATGTCACCAATAAACTTAGCTCACAACTTTGGAAACCTACATCTTATTACTTGAAAATTCATTGACGTGAGAAGGATAGCAGCTCCAATCACTTTGCAATTGGTTATTATAGCCAATGTTGCACATTTGTCGTACACTTGAAAACTGTTCAACAGAACCTTTTATTCCACGATTGAACACTGGATCATAATTTTGTTCGTCTGTATCCATCTTGCTTTTATGTAATCCTGCAAAGGTTGGGAGGCAAAAAATTAAAGCACGTGATGAGAAAAAACAATGTTCATTTGTGATTCTGACCAGTGGACGTTATCCTGATGGCAGCCTCATGCTGCATAATCAATGAGATCAGAACTGAAATTGCAAAATATAAAAATTTTATTTCTCAAAAGTTCTAGTCAGAATTTAGGCTGTCCAAATGGATGTATAATAGTAGTAATATAACATAGCTCGGACAAAAATTCAAGAAAGAGATTACGAACAATTGTCACAGACATATATAACACTTCATAGATCTGTGTAAAGTTCATAATTTACAGGATTTCTGGACTACCAATTAGGTAAACATAATACAATAAGAGATTTGACAATTAAGACTATTGTATCATCATTGTTTCTTCTCCATTCGTATTGAAGACATTACATCCTTACCAATTCAACATGACAAAAGTACCATAGAACTTGCCAATTGCCATTTTAACTTGGCAAGTATTTCTGATTACATACAATCCCAGTAGTACTTCTCAAATTTGCTCAAACCACTGTGGCTAAACGGAGATTCAATGTAGTCCATCTTAGTTCTACTTCACTTAGAATACCATGAAGCATGAATACGAACACAACACTGACACATAACTTTCAAGTAAGCAGGACACGGATACTGGGGCCACGTTGACCAAAAATAAACATTTATGTGTGTTAAATTAATTAATTTTTTAATAAATTAATACTTTTTTAGATTTGATTGCTGAATGTTACGTCTTCTGAAAATGAGGATTGATAAAAAAAAATAAAAAATATCATGAAGCAAAATTTGCATTAGTAATAAACAAATTCTACAGAAGTTCCTAAAATTTGTCTCACAATATTTTGAATCTTTACCCAAATAGTTTAATTATTAATATTTTGTTATTTTATACTCCGAAATTTCACAATCTTACCTGTCATGTCCTTGAAGCATTGAGGACTTGAACCTCGTGTATCCAAAAAAATATATATAGGACGTGTCGTGTGATGTTTAGCACACTTGTTTGAGGCATGCCAATGATGTGTCCATCGCACGTCAAAAACTCAAAACATGGAAAAATAGGAATCATCATATAGCATGTCAAACACATGTCCCTGAGTGTCAGATACATATTTGACACTAACACACTACCCTAGGAGTGACCATCCTTTGCAAGTAACATATTCCAGAGTTGTAATTTAAAATTTATACACAACTCCTAGTCTCATCAACAAAATCTATAATGTAACCAAATTTACAGTCATATTAGCAAATGTAGACATTGCACAATGTCAAGCTCTAATGTAATGCGGAAAGATGCTTTACATAGATGTTTAATTTCACAATCCAATATAAGAAGGGGGAAAAAGTCTATTTCATCAGAAATAAAATAGGTATAGAAAGTTTATGTTAAACTAGAACATAAGCAAAATTGTGACCTATTCAAACCTTGACAACTTTCCACTCCATTCAACTGTTGGAACTCGTATAGTATTTTACTTTACATTCAATTGACTAGGAGCACAAGGGAAAGAAAAAAAGAATATATCTGAGCAATAGGATTTAAGTGAGAAGGACGACCAAGATAGTCAGAGAAAGTGGGAAAGAAATTTTTTTTTTAAAATTTTCTTAATGGAGGCCCCACTTCATTAGTCAATAACTTCATTTAAAAATACCCCAATGTTTTAAAGATTATAAATTTTTATTGTCACACTCTACACCATTGTTAATAGAGAAGCAATCAATTTTTTTTAGATGCCCATCCCATTTCAGCCTTCGTAGGAAACTAGAAGTAGAAAGAATAACTGAAGAAACAAATGTGTACCTTAGGCAACTTATGGAAAAGATTGAAGGTGACATTATTTCTATTGTTGTTTATGTGTTCCTATGTGAATATCGAGACAAAGAAGGACAAAAGTGAGAGGACAAAAAGTGCAATCAGACATGGTGTGAGCCGAGCAAAAAACTTGTGTGACTCAAGGGATGCACCATAAAGCTTTTTAACGACAAGCACAGCAAGTGATAGTTCACCTTCTCCATTCTTTCAAATTTTCCAATATTTGGTGGGGGGGGGGGGGGGGGGGGGGAAGTAAAGTAAAGTAATTAAAGGCTTTAACTGCACCATTATTTGACTCCATTTCATCTATTTCATATCATTTAAATTCAACAAACTATTCCCTAGCTTCCCTTTCTTTCCCTCTACCCCCGCCCCTCAGGGTGGATTCCCTTCATCAAATTAGATAATAACTGATAATTTTTTTCAAAATGAACAAACAATATGAGAATAATTCATCCATTGTGCCAATTGAAATATCAATCAAATTGGAAACAAAGGCACATGACAAATTAATAGGCTCCGCTCCTAAACAAATAAGTACTAATCTACTCAATTTTCCCCCCAAAAAAGCATTTCGCTTGCAATAACCTAATATTTTACAACGATGTTCCTCACAACTTTTTCCGTTAACCTTAATGGATAATTCTATTTATCCCCCTTAAATTACCAATATTTGAAAACAGTCATATCACAAGTAAAATTAATTTATTGGCACGCAACCTGTAATTATTTTCATCAATTATGGCTTCCTAAGATGACCATATACAATAAGTTAGTTAATATCAAAATAAAAATCCCATTAAGAAAAGAATTTCAAGATTTCAACCATTCTGCAAAACTCTACTTCAATTCATCAAAACCCACACCACAAATTGTCCAAAATCAAACTAACGCATCGTCCAAAAAAAAAAAAAGAAAAAGGCAATTCAAATTCTTTTTTAAGTTCTATTTTCTTCCAATCGAGAACAGAATTTTCTTTACGCCAAACCAAGCCCCACATTAGATATAGAGGCTTCATTAACAATTCAACAACTCCAAAGACGATGATCACAAAACCCTAGGTTCATTCAATGATGTCGGTCAAAATTCTAATACACCACCATGCATGCATATATTGTTGCATATGCAAGTATATGCATGAATATGCAGGAAAAAAAATAGATGAAAGAGAAAAGGCGACGCACCTATTTAGGGTTTCTATTAAAAAAATTGGTGTTGGCGTTGAAATCAGCAGTAGCAAGGAGTCAAACCCTAAAAATTGGAAGGTGTAAAATAATAGAGAAATTCTTGTATCAGCGTTCTTCTCCTCTTTTTGCTCTCCTGCTGTGCGTGTTGTCTGATATATATAGTAGTAAGTAGTGTGTGTTGTGCGTGTTTTGAGAGATCTTGTGGGGCCTTTAGCGACGTCGTTTTCGAGGAGACCTACCCTGTCCGACGTCGTTGGTGGATTTGTAGGGCAAGGAGACACGTGCTTAAACCCACCTGGCACGAACTTCAAATTCCAAACATTGTATTTGTGAAAAACTTATTCAGATAGTCGATGGGTCTTACCTTAGGAATTAGAGTAAATATATTTTCAAAAATTCTGTTTGCTTAGTAGTAGACATATTAGAATTACACTTTATTAAACATAAAATAATATATATATATTGATGAAAGGTTGAATCTATCGATAACTATTCAACTTTATATTTAGTGTCATCATGGTTATCCAATTTGATTTTGTTTCATTATGATCGCTCAACTTTATACTTAGTGTCACCAAAATCACTTGATTT